GGAAAGTGAAATTCAATGTCATCATTAATCATGAAATGATCAACTATAAACTTAGGATCAAAGAGCAAAGATACCCAGCACCTTAGATTTATATTATACTTTCTCATTTTCAAAGCATTTTCGTATGTGTTATCTTAATTAATCTTTACGTGATGTTTTAGGAATTAGACATTTATTTACAACCCCTTGTAACTCAGATTTCTGCAAGGGCTTAATTGGTCATGCCTCTGTTCTCTGCAAATGCTGTCGAGTGCCCCATTCTGAAATCACACAGCATCCATAGTATTCTAAAGATTAGAAATTCTAACTCTTTGTTTTAACTTGTAGTAAGAGAGATAAAATTAAAATTGAAATTATTTAGAATTAAAATCTCTGGAGGGCACTGAAGTGCCATTTATGGGGGGATAATTAAGGCCCCAAATTAAAGTTGAAAAACTATTTCAACTACATTTTCATTTTACCAGTTTTACTGCTTGCCTTGATAAGGTCCACAGCATTTTTTCAAGTGAAGAGTTTGGATAGAGGGGGAAAAAATATCACACTTCCTAAGTTCCACTTGTATCTTATTTGTGGCTTCACAACAGGGGGCTACTTTGTAGTATCGAATGTACTAGAACCCATTTGAGCTTTGATTTTCTCATCAGTGAAATGAGGAAGTTGGACAAAACTATCTCTTAGATTTATTTCCCAGTCTCAGTTCTCTGACTCTTACTTTGGTAGAACTTTTTCTTTTATAGCAGTCTGTTCAGTGGTCCTCCCTTGGCCTCATTACTCAAGTTGGAACTTTTTGGCATGAGAATATTGCTGTCATATTTAGTGTAAAGACCTGAAGCTCAGCACAAAAGGTATAATCATGTTATTAATGCTAATAATAATATAGCTATCATTTTAAATACTTAATAAGTTCTATGAAATTTATATATAATATCGATCTCAAAAAAACCTAACAATTTGGTGAGATATGATTATCCCTATTTTTTATATTAGACAAGCTAAAGCTCAGAAGTGAAAGCAACACTATTAATAAAACATCCTATTTTCAGGACATCAGTATACATTTTTCCACCCCAGTTCACAGCGCAGAACTGTCAGGGTAAGGGGAGGCATGGATGAGTTCATCTGTGATGTGTACGCATTTTTCAAAGTCTCAACATAAATTCACTGTGAACTCATTTCTTTCTGCAAAACAGAACCATTTATATAAAGAAAAGGTAACTGTGCAGTTCTCATGCCATTTTTATGATAAAAGAAAACATGCACCAGTAGCTTCAAAATAGTATTTCTGGAGTCAGTGATATTGAGCCTCTGTAATAAGAATAAAATCTCAGAGTTCAGGAAACTGATGACAGAATTAATGCCAAAAACTGTTGGCATTTATTTTCAATATTCTAAAAGGAGACAAATAGTAATTACAAGTGTAACTTCACTTAAAGTTAATATTTTATCAGTAAAATGGAAAATATTGTAAAAAATTACATACTTTTATATAGTATACATAAAAATACATATAAAAAGCATTACAGTACATATAGTACTTTTCATACATGGCCAGGTATAAATTTCTTCTTCGAAATGATGTTGTTAAAAAATACACATATCGTTATTGCTAGCACAGATGGTGCCTCCTACCAAAAGGAAAACAGGCACAGAACATAGAAAATTTTATGAAAACTGTCAATAATAATATAGATAATGCTCAGTTTAATGGTCCATTCCAGAGTGCACTTCTGTGCACTTGCCCCATGAACCAGGATGCTTTTAGGCCAGTCTGGTGGAAACAAGCACTATTCCTGTTCTGGATGAGCACTGCAAACTGTCTCATCTAGTGCTTGGGTGGCCCTAGATGGTATTCTCACATGCATCATGATTTAGCTGCACTTATCATTACTCAGCTGATTTCTAAAGGAGAACCCTTGGAAGGGTTAAAATATATTTCTATTTTATTTTACTGATTACAACTGGATAAATATTCATAGACATTTTATTCTCTTTGACATGCCCTATGTTGGCTGTCATACTGTTTTGTTTTTCTGCTTATCAATCAAATTCAGATTTTCAGACTTTCTATTCTAGTCAAGAGGGATTAACAGGGGCCAGAGATACCCTCTCACATAAAAAATCAAGCAGTCAATAAAATATATCAAACAATGATTTTCAATATAATGGAGATATGCTCATGATAAGCAGTAATCCCTGAGAAAGAGAAAAAGAAACAAAGAAAGTGAGCCCTAAAATTACTTCAGCTTATTGCCTTTGAGGGAGTTTTTTTTTTTTTTTTATAAGTGTTGCATGTTTTTAAAAATTTAAGTTGAGGCATGGAAGATTAAAAGACCCAGTTAAGATTTCCTACGATGGAAAAGAAAATACATAATATGAAAACACAGTGGCTTACATTTTAGCAGATTAGACATTAGCAAGGAAAAGCTTAGTGAATTTAAACACACACAATAGAAGTAATCCAAAGTGAAACACAGAAAGAAAAAAGAAGAAAAAATAAATTAGGAAAAGTTGGGGGGTGGGGGGCAAGAGGAGAGAGAACATTAGGACAAATACCTAATGCATGCAGGGCTTAACACCTAGATGATGGCTTGACAGGTGCAGCAAACCATCATGGGACAAGTATGCCTAGGTAACAAACCTGCACATTCTGTACCTGATAATGGTAAGGAAGGGGAAAGGGAAGGGGAAGGGGAAGGGGCACTTAACCAAAGCAGATACGTATCACATAAGCACATGATAACAGGCTCAAAATTATTGTCTTTAGGGAAATGTGAAATACAACCACTATAAGATAACACTACACATGAATCAAAATGTCCAAAATTTCAAAAGCTGGCTTTACCATGTACAGATACTCCTCAACTTAAAAGGGTGTCATATCACGAAAAACCCATCATAAGACAAAACTATCATAAGTTTAAAATGCACCAAACATGGACAATATAGCAGATGGTCCCCAGCTAAAAATTGGTTCGATTTAGGATTCATAAACTTTATGATGGTGCAAAAGTGATAGGCATTCAATAGAAACTTTAACCCAATTATAAGTCCTAAAAATCACCTCAGCTTACAATGGGATTACACCATGATAAATATATTTTAAAGTAAAAAATCATTATGTCCAATCATCATAAGTCAGGGACCATTTGTATTGGAAGGATGTGTTTGACCTAGAACTCTCAAACTCACTACATTTGTAGTGGAAGCATAAAATGGTACAGTCATCTGGAAAACACATCTCAAATATTAAACATATCCCTAATATGTGATCTAGCTATCCATTCCACTCTATGTAGTCATTCAAGATAAATAAAAACATATGGCCACACAAATATTTATGTGCAAATATCAGTTTTAATATGAGTCACTCATTTAACATATGGGTCACTTTGTTGTCATTAACCAAAAACTGGAAACAAACCAAAGTAACCATCAAGAGGTGAATGGTAAAATAAACTGTGATATATTAATAAAATGGAATGCTACCCAGCAATAAAAAGAAATCAACTATTGATATATCCTACAACTTGGATGGATCTCAAAATAATTACGTTGAATGAATAGAACCACTCAAAGGATTACGTACCATATTGTTCTAGTTACAGGAAATCCTAGAAAATGCAAAATGAAAAGTATTCTATAACATCAGAAAGCAAACCAGTGACTGCCTTGGCACATGGGAAGTCAAAAGGAATGACTTTCCATGAGGCATAAAGAATCTTTTGGGGGACAGATGGATATGTTCATCATGTTTTCTGTAGTGATGATTTCTCAGGAGGTACACATGTGTTAAAACTTAACAAACTGTATACTTAAAATGTATAGATTTCAGGTTATGTCAATCTTTTCTCAATAAAACTGTTTCTAAGCTTTCAAATATCCAGCTTCCTGAAAAACTGGAAGCTCCAGCTGCATTCCCTCTGCATGATCGTATGGCAATGGAAGCCATTTCTTTTCTGATAATCACCTGTTCTCTCGTTTTCCATAGTCTTCATTCCTCCCCTTTGTTGTTCCTTTCCTGCTTTATTCATTTACATGACTCCAATAGGAATTTTAATTTGTACCTACCAATTATTTCTTATCTTCTATTTTATCAAAGGGGTATTAGTCTCTCTCCTAAGTCTGAAGGGAGAAATCCTCCAAATCCCATAGTTTACTCTACAGTACCCTCTGTTATTTGGTTCCAACTGATTTTCCAAACCTATTTATTAAGATTTCCTTCATCAGATCACATATGCAAGAAACTCTACTTCTTAGACAATATTGCCCACATTCCCAAATAAGCTATATGTTCTGGGTGTATTTACTTATCATGGTAACGAGATTCATGGTTAAAGCATTTGCAATGAGAGAGCTAAAGAAAAAAGACCATCTTTAACAAATGCAGGAATTATTTCTACCAAATAAAAACTGAAATTCTTTTTTTTCTAAGAAGCAGAGGTAAAAAGAAAAGAACCTTTGAGAGAAAAATGAGTTCCTGCTGTTCAGTGAATGACATAAGAGGTTTAAAACTAAATGTTCTCACAGAAAATGCAAGGTTATAAAAGTTATCATCAGCCATCTCATTAGCATAAGCTAGTGTAGATGTGGTTCTACCCCAAGTGATGGGCTAGTGATGCTCTAAGTCCATTGTCTTTAATTACACATCTCCACATGTCAAGATACTGTTGAATCAAGATTACATTTCTGGTTATGTTGGGTCATACCAAGCTATAGATCATGTTGTGTATCTTTTTTTTTTTTTTAAATCCCCTGTAAATCCACCCCAGTCATGGCATCATTTTATCGTTTGAAATATTCTTCTTCACTTGCTTCCAAAGATGAAGAATAAATAATAAATATTATGAGAGTACTGAGGGAATTTATAACATTACTTTTACTTTTTTATTACTTTTGGGTAAGAGGTTATTAAAATATAATTACTGCATACTTCGCATGCCTGTCTTAAATTCATTCTTAAATATTTTAATATTTGTAAAAGTTTCACAGTATATACTCACAAATAAAACTTCTCATCCCATACTGGATTCAAGTTTCCAAAAATGGTTTTTGTTCTTCTTTTGTTCTTTCCCACTTGAACTGTAACATATGGATCACTAGACCCTGTTTTGTCTTTTGCCTGTAGACCCCGTGCAGAAACCACTGAAATAAATCAAAATAAACATTTTAATGGACAGACCCGTCAGAAACAAAAGATAATTATAACAAAGACAATTTTCATGTCATTTGGTTCCTTGGGTTTACAGATGTAGCCCCATGGCTTTCATTCTCATGACCAACAGAACTTTAAAAAAAAAAAGTTTAATAAAAATAAATATACAACATTAAAATCTGTAATTTTTGCTTTTGCCTGCAATGAAGAGTAGCTATATACATACACATGCATATGCATATTAGCTATATACTCATATACATTATTGCATACATGTACAGAGAAATGAGGAAGACATATCTACACTTACATGAAAAATTACCCAACATAATTCAAAGGCCTGCAATCCAAACTCATTTATTTGTGAATCTGTTGTCAATATTGATCAACTCTACACAGTTGAGAAAGCATCTTTATTTATCTTGTAAATACAAAATGAGTAAGTAAAGAGGCTTGGTAAATGTTAACAGGCTGCACAGTCACTTGCTGTTAACATTACAAGCAACTTCAGAAGTCCAATTTACTAGATATCACTAAATGCAAATTGCCCTGACTCCAAGACCAAATGGATGAGGGATATTGAGCCAGGATTAAGTAAAATAACATCTATTTTCTCTTTTAAAAAATTAACTGAAGAGATTATTAGATACTGTTATAATTTATCACTGGTAGGCAGCACTGAAAGCTAATTTCTTGTAAACTGCAGGGTACTAATGAATATATTGAAAAAAAGAAACTTTTTCCTGTGAAAGAATTTTTGATTAGAACAAGACACAGACTAAAATTACTTGACTTTTCTAGTATACATTTTCGAAATTCAAAGTACCAACTAGTCTCGTTCATATTAACCTAATTCAAAAAAAGAATCATTTATTTTACCTATAATTATTATTAGCAGTTATTTCTAGGACATAAAAAATCTCAATGTACTGCACATATATGTTTATTATGGCACTGTTTACAACAGCCAAAACTTGGAACCAACCCAAATGCCAATCAATGATAGACTGGATTTTAAAAATGTGGCAAATATACACCATAGAATACTATGCCACCATAAAAAAGGATGAGTTCATGTCCTTTTCAGGGACATGGATTAAACTAGTAAACATCATTCTTAGCAAACTAACACAAGAATAGAAAACTAAACACTGTATGTTCTCACTCATAAGTGGGAGTTGAACAATGAGAACACATGGACACAGGGAGGGGAGCATCACACACTGGGGCCTGTCAGGGAGTAGGGGGCTAGGGGAAGGATAAGCATCAGGAGAAACACCTAACGCAGATGACAGGGTGGTGGATGCAGCAAACCACCATGGCACATGTATAACTATGTAACAAACCTGCACATTCTATATATGTACCCCAGATCCTAAAATATAATAATAAAAAAACCTGAATGTTCAATAAATTATTTTAAAAAGACTTATTTTTACCTGTAATGGTTATTTTTGCAGACCACTTAGATGTCCCATCCAGTACACTCTGTTTGGCCGCCTTTGTATACTGCACAAAATCTTCTTTAGAAATCTGAAACATTTCCTGGATTACTTCGAATACCTCTGGCCGGTTTTTCTCCCTGATCTTCATTCTTTCTTTCATTGCTGTAATAATGGTCTGAGTCTTGTCCTCGGCACCATGTTTAGAACTCTTTTCTGCTGCTCCTATGGTGGAAAAATCAATGGTGATGTGAATGTACATGCCGTTACTTTTTGATGGCCAAAGAGGGAGGAAAAGGAGGAGGAATGGGAGGATGAATGAGAGCTTTCATTCTATGGAGTCAGATGGCTTTTTAGGAAAATATCAGGAGAACGAATTGCTATGCTGAGATTCAGAAGAAATAGTATTCCTTTGTGTTACTGGCAAATAAATTGACCTCCTATGATTCCCAGGCCCTTCTCTTGTATTACTGAACAAAATTAGGTGTTGTGCAAAAATTTGGTTTGAAGTTTCAAAAAAGAATTCAAATACAGCAAAAAGAATGGACACAAGGAATTGTGTTATATACCACACGTATTTCCTCAATGGGTATCCAAAACAAAATTGAGAAATAGATTGGATATATGCAGCAAATGACACTTGGAAAACAGTAATTCAAACACATCACTGTTATTTGCTGAATATTAAAGTGGAATGTAAGATTTTACTTGGAAAGAAACTGATTGAGCTGTTTAAAAAAGATTTGGACACTGCTAGGCTAAATGATCTGTGAAGTAACTGATAGAAGACAGACTTGAACTCTCTTTCTCTAATATATCCAGAGCTTTTAAATGACTGAATACTCATAGTTCACTAAAAACTTTATTCCTGGGGCATTGTTTTTCATGACAGATCTCAACTTTCTGGACATTTTTGTTTGTAACACAAACCCTTCTGTCAGTGAAAGATTTCTAAAATTCCATTTTTGGATCCCCCACCTTAAGCTATTGGCTAGATATTCTCATGGCTCTGTATGGCTTTCTGGGTTACCCAATATTACACAAGTTAATAATGGACCATGATTTCAATTTCCACAATTCCTTAGAGAGTTTAAAGTAAGAAAGCAAAAACTCATGTACCAGTGTCTACAGGAACTGCTGCTGCTAAAATCAAACATTTTTGGTATAGAAGTAACTGAAAGATAGCAAAAATAATTTTAAAAACTTGTGTTCATAGATAGCAATTGCTCTAATTTTCATTGACGTGACTGTAATTTTGCCTAACTAGTATTCTTAGTTTTTTCTGAAATACATTTCTGAAATAGGCATACTAATATCTCACAAACTACTGAAAGATTAAATGGGATGGTTTTTAGGCAGGCATAATTTCTACCATAAAAGATAACATCAGTAATGTTCTTTGAACCTAATTTGTGAATATTGAGCCCAATTTAACTATAGAAATAAAGATAAAAGATGAAAGCAACTATTAACTTTGCTTATGATAAATTCATATACAATTTGACAGCAATAATTTTATGTAAATGTTCATTTATTTGTAGGTGTAATATCTGTTTCCTAGAGAGGAAAAAATGTATTCATGATGAGTGTAAATAGAGGAGGCTAAAATATATGAATATTCCACTGTTAGAGCAGACTACCTGTCCTTATCTTTTATTTTAATGTTTGAGGACTTAAACCACATTTTAAAAAAGGAATATAACAAAAATGAATGAATTCCACTAAAGGTAATTTAAAAGGACATTATAAATGGCCTACATTGTTGAAACGCTTCCGCGGAATAGCTACACATTTATAAACTGCATGCAAATAAGATGTTTTTAATTGATCACTATTGGATTAACTACACATAATAACATAATTCCATAAGTCCCTAATTATTAAACAGCAAAATTAGCTTAGGCTGAACTAAATAGTTGTAACTACCTAATACACATATTTTATTCAAGTATTTAATATTTATAAAATGGAAAGGAGAGTGGTGGCTGGAAGATATTCTCTACGAGACACAAAGTGCTTCAAAAACGTAGTCTGTGACTGCCAGCTAAGGAATGTCCAAAAGGTTAGAAGTGTCACACAAATGTTTATTCTCTTCCAAATTTCTAAACAGCTATTTTTATTGTTGCTATTAATGCTCCCCTAAAGGCTATAGGAAGAAGTGCTAAAGTCATGTAGAGTAAATATATTTTGGATTACTTCTCTAAATTCAGGAAGAGCCCATCTAACTACCATCCACACAATAAATGCTCATTCAAGCAATAGATGCCAAATTCAAAGCCAGAACATGAAGAAATTTTTCATCAAAATGCATCAGACTTCTATCCTTGAGGACTGCCTCTTGTCATTAAAAAAAAAAAAAAAAGTTAGGAAAGCTTCAGCATTAGCTTTGAAATTTCACTTATTCTTACGTATTATTGATGGTATTACAGAAGATCTATTCTAATATCCACAGGCAAAAGAGTCATAAACTGAAATTGCCAATTGGAGGACAGCAGGTTAACAGAGACATATGTTTAAGCAGTTTCTCTGTTATTTCTAGAAAAAATATATAGCTTTTAAAAATTTCTACTTTTGCATTTTTGATTAGAAGAAAATTATTCATCTTCGATTGTTTAGCTCAGAGATAGAGACAAATTCATAATTAATTTTTGTGACTCATTTACAAGTACTTTCCATTGCCCTATTTATCAAACCCACCTGTCTTAGGTTTCTAATGAAACTCTTTTTTATATAGTTGCGATTTGCCATGAATTTCTAGCCCTGTGGTTTATTTTTTTTTCAGCCTTACTTTTTATTTAAAAGTAATCAGAGGCCGGGCACGGTGGCTCAAGCCTGTAATCCCAGCACTTTGGGAGGCCGAGGCGGGTGGATCACGAGGTCAAGAGATCGAGACCATCCTGGTCAACATGGTGAAACCCCGTCTCTACTAAAAATACAAAACATTAGCTGGGCATGGTGGTGCGTGCCTGTAATCCCAGCTACTCAGGAGGCTGAGGCAGGAGAATTGCCTGAACCCAGGAGGCAGAGGTTGCGGTGAGCCGAGATCGTGCCATTGCACTTCAGCCTGGGTAACA